TCCCATTTTATTGCTGAATAGTATTCCATCCAAATTCTCCTAAAAGCCACTTATGTTTTGAAGCAACACTGACTGGGATGCAGAGCCCTGGCCTCCTACCCTGCCTCTGCTCTGCTGAGTGGCCTCTGGCACGTCCTTGCCTAGTCTGGGCATCCACTTCTCCATTTGTAAAATGAGGGCCTAGATCCTACAAAGTCTCTAATGTCTCTTCCAATTCTTAAACACACCCGAAAACCCACTTTGTGTTTTTCACAGAGTGCCATTAGATTTAGTATTCAAAAATGTTGATATCTCTGATCCAACGTCTACTCTTTACCTGTTCTAAAACTTCTGCCATCTCCTTTATTGTCAAGGTGGTGGAATCTTAATTTTGAAAAGGATGCAGTTTATCAAGAAAATCCAGTTTCGACCAAGGGAGAGGAAAAGAATTAAGGAGTGAACGCCACCCAGTCTGAATGAAGGAGAAGGAACAAGTGAGATAACCAAGCCAGAGGACCGAATGTGGTGGGTGGGCGGCAGCTGGGGACAAAATGTGTCAGACGTAGTACCGAAGGTCAAAATCCAGGCCACCTGGTTACCTTGGGAGTGAGAGAGAAGGGATGTAGGGAGAGGGAGGCCACCAGAGTGGGCGAGGTATCGAGGGCTAGGACCCCCTCCCTACTCTGTTCCCATAACCTCATTCATTCCCTCAACCCTCCTTCCCAATTCCTCTCAGGCTGCTCTGCTCCTTTAGTCCTGACCCCATTTCCTCAGGATCTCGTTCCCTGAGGAGCAAGGCCTGACATTTCAGACAGAAGCCGAGGAAAGGAGGCAGGTCGGAAAGACGCGCTGTGTGTCTGCGTCATCTTGTTTTCTGTTTGATTATTTTGGGACCCTGGGGGCTAAGACGTAAGCCCTTAGACATTTACCAGGAAGTCCAGTCCCCCAGGCACCAAGAGATATTAGAACTTCTTTATTCTCTGCTGACAAATTACTACTGAGTGTCAGAGTTTGGGGGACAAAAATGACGATTTGGAACTCCCATTCTTATTGGTTATTGTACCATAAATGCATCGGGCAAGGGTCAAGGTGCCCTGGAAGTAGCTATACCTGGAAAGCTCCTCTTGACGATGACAACCACAGCCTTCTCTTAACCCCGTGGCCAGCAGGAGGAGGCTTCCCTGCCGATGCTCTGATCTGCCAGCACTCCCCACAGCCTTTTGTCCTCTGTAGTCCCTCAGGCTTCTACAGCTTTTAAGACCCTTGGGGCTTATAGAAACCATCGGGGAAAGGCTGTATCTCCGAAATACACCTGTAGGGGAAAAAAAACCCTCCAATTCTTGAGTCCTCATTTATTGTGACATCTGTGGACATCCCAGGAGCAGGTTGGGACCGAGTAAGGTTTGTTATTGGGACTTTCTGAAGCAAATACTTCTCGCTATAGATGAAAAACAATGTATTGGTACACCTGGTACATGCAGTTCCCCACTTCTGATGTTTATGAACACCTGCTTCTGACCGGAAGTCCCTGAAAGGAGGAACCAGGTCATGGCTCAATCGGGATAGCTGCTGGCCCCACACCACTTCTGCGAACAGGCTTCGAGGCTTGCTGGGCTGTGAACGCCAGTGTCAAGAGCATGTCTCTGAACACTATTGTGTAGCACCTACTTCAGTGTCTGGCACATACTGGTCATTTCAATGTATTTTTGATAAGTGAATTAATTGATGCCAGTCGTGTTGATAAGGATGACAGGGGACAGTGACAAAGGTTTCTTGTAAGCTACAAGATGCTTTGTAAGGCAAGGCATCTCCCCTTAGCGGCACCCATTCTCCCCAAAGCCATGGTTTCTTTTATTGGAGGAAGCAGACAGGCGTTGACCTTCAGAATGGAGTCTTTATCCTCCCATCATGTCCATGCCAGGAGAAGCTATCAGTGATAGAGAAGGCAATAAGAGACAGCTGGTTGGGCATGATACCTGGGTAAGGAGAGGACAGGGATCTCCTATGCCTGCCTGCCTTCTCACTCCTCTGGCTAGGTCACCTTTAGTGTCTTTTGCCAGCAACTTATCAGGAAGAACCAGGACTCTCTGGACTCAGAAGATCCAATTCTTCAGCTGTGCTGCCTCCACGGGCTCTTCTTCCACTGTCCAGGCCCTCAATTTCTGGTAACTTGGCTTTGGAACGAAACTGAAATCCCATGTCTTTGAGACTACCCACATTACCCTTCTTTCTGGGGGAAGAATGTGTCTGTGCAATAATATTTCATTTTAACTCTGTGCAGTTGTTGCAACAGAGGTAATTCTGGCATAAAGAAAGGGTACCACTTGCCCAAAGTATTTCATGATTCTTAATTCCAGGAATTTTACCTCTAACACACACTGTATGGCTCAAACAATAAAGAATAAGTAAATCTCTCACCATCTCCTATGACTGAGAATTTACATTGAGGAGTCCTAAAATGGAATACGTTGTGAGGCAAGAACAGATTTCAAGAGACCACCCACCCACCCTTTGGCTCTCAGGCAGACCTGCAGTCTAGGAGTTAAGTATTGGTTTGGAAGAGACTTGAACCTGGAGTCAAAAGACCTAGGATCTGCTCTTTACTAAGTGGATGATCCTGGGCGAGTCATTTAGCCTCTGTGACTTAGCTTTCTGTAGAGACAGTATCTGCATCTTCTACCTTACATGCCTGTTGTGAAAATGTAATGAGATAATATATGTAAAAGCTATAAAATACTAGACAACTGTTAATGTTAACATCTCAGGTAAATGTGCACCTTTGGAGATTCTTTAGGTAAAACATAAATAGTAAGCCTTCTGTGTTCATAAGAAAGTTTTACAAGAATAGAAACTAGGAGTTCAGCTCTGGATTCAGGACCCATGAGTAACATTGGGCATGTTATTTTTTTCTGAAACCTCAATGAAGGGGAAATAGTGCTCATCTCATAGGCATGGCCATGAACATTAAATGAGATAATGTAAGCACAGTACTTAACATATACCTGGCTTGGAAAAGGAACTCAATGAATGGTAGCTGCCACCATTGCTGTTACTAATGAAGATGTGAAGCAGGGTGGTCCAATAAGATCTCATTGAGATCTGAGCTAGGAATCAAAGGACTCACCTTTTTAGGGCCTCAGTTTCCTTACTTGCACCATAATAAGAATCTATGCTTTTCTTCTTCCAGATTGTCAGGAGGATATATATATATATATATATATATATATATCTGAACTTTGAGCTAATTGGAAGGCTTGAGTAATATGATAAACTGCAAGATTTTTTTTAAAAACAGTTAAATTTATAAAGATTGAGTTTTTTCAGTTCATCAGTTTTTGTTCATTCCTACTTGCCTTTGGTCAAGTTGTCCTCTTCATGGAAAAGAAGTACAGCATTTCCCAGTCAATAAAAAAGATTTCAAATGTCAGATCTTGAAGTAAATCCTTGAAACCTGCAAGAGTACATACACTCTGCAAAGAAAACCTATCTTCAGGATGTTCCATTGCCTCCATTTGTTCTGTGTATGTAGGCCGATTTTCATATTCACCCAGCTCTTGGATATCCACTTTGGGTATTATCTACTTTCAATATTTAATCCCAGAATAACCTCTTCTTGCCTTGCAGCATGCTCCCAGATTACCTGCTTTTTCTCTGATTAGTTAGTATGGCTTCAGGGAATATCTTCATTTTAACATTAAACTGGGCAAAAACAGAAATAGAAAGATAAATCTGTAGCAAGATCAAAATTAGAATTCATGGCTAAATATAAATCTGGAGGGAATTGTCCAATTATTTGGATGGTCCCTTACCGCAGACAGTCCAGGGTTGATTGCCTTTGGCTTTGTCCATTTATAGAGCAAAATGGTTAATAAATACCAAGGGTAATATTTTTTCTTTAGAAGAGTAATACTTTTTAATAGTAACTTAAATGCTGTTTTCTTTCCCAAATGTCTTCTTATATATTCTAGTATGTGATTTTCACAACTGCATGCATTCTCTTTGGGGACCATCCAGTCTCGTTTTGACTTGTAGGTCAGAGAGTATTGAACTGAGAAGACCAGGATTTAGCATGGAGTCACCTTGCAAATTTGAGCAAGTTTTTCAGTCACTTTATTGCTACCACTCTGCTGAGCTAGACTGGAAATGGACGACTCTTGAAGAGAAAATCCTGCTCTTATACAATCGCAGTTTAATTTACGAGCTAGCAGCTTCTTTCCTTTTTCCTTTTTTTTTTTTTTTAGGTTGGACCAACACCAAGTACGAACTTGGAAACGTGGAGAAAGACAAATGTGGGTGTCACATGAAGTCCGGTAGCCATATAATGCAAATCACATGCAAATGTGTGCAAACTTTGCATTACTTTGTAGACTCTTGGGAGCTTGCAAGCAGCACTAAGATCCTGAGAGTTCAAACCTGTGTTTAGATTAAACCAAAAGTAATATTTTTGAAATTATCGCTTTCTTGGTGCTTGCGAGGACTCAACTTCTGAAAGTTTGATACTCCTCCCTACCCCATGATGATTGCAATGCCTGATTCCATCTTACGCCCGGTCCCGCCCCCGCTAAGTCTGACGTCACGTGACATTTATTTGCATACTACCTGGGACTGGGTGTGACGCTCCCCTTTTCTGCGCCTTTTCATTGGGGGCACCGGAGAACTAGCCCTCTTCAGGGCAGACCAATCAGCAGCCCCTCGGACGTGCGAAAGCGGGCAGGGGTGTGATGAGGGTAGGGTTTGGGGTAGGATCGCTAAGCATATTGACCAATTATCCTCTGGGAAGGGACGATCAAGACGAGGATTGGTTGGGAGGAGAGGTCTGGGAATCCGTAGGCCAATGAGAGCTGCGGGTTAAGGGGGCCGGTCTCCGCCTCGTAGGGCTGATAAGCAGCCGCAACGGGGGTTGGGGGCTGTGCGGGGCTCGCTGTGGGGCCGAGGGAGGCGGGCTGTCGGGCGGGCAATGGCGGGGGCCGCAGCGGGCGGCAGAGGCGGAGCTGCCTGGGGGCCGGGGCGTGGAGGGGCAGGGGGGCTCCGGCGGGGCTGCTCTCCTCCAGCCCCCGGCGGCTCCCCCCGGGCTGGGCTGCAGCCGCTCAGGGCCACGGTCCCCTTCCAGCTGCAGCAGCCGCACCAGCGCCGGGACGGGGGTGGCCGCGCAGGTGAGCTGGGCCTGGAGCGGGTGCTGGGGGAGGAGCCGTTGGGGGAGGGGGCCGCGTGGTGGGGGGAGGGGCATTGGGAAGAAGTGTGAGGGGAAAGTGGACCGGGGCGAGGAAAGAAAAAGGGGGTCGCACAAAATCTGAGAGGGCGGAGGGAGCGAGAGCGAGGAGCCTTGAACTCGGGGTGCACCGCCGGGGCCGTGTCCTGGATGTCGGAGCTGGGAGCCGAGGGGAGGGACCTGGCAGATGGAGGCTGTCTTTGGGGGCGTAACCAAAAAGTGGCAGGGGTGTCGTGTGGGGGCGAGTGGAAGATGCAGGGGTAGCCGCGAGTTGTGAGGAAGAAGTAATTGGCGTCTGATGGGGGCGCCTTGTGCAGGGTTGGCGCTGGAGCCAGGAGCCGGTGGGCGCTGGGCGTCTGCATGGGGAGGGGGAAGGGCATAAAGGAGAGTTCAGTGGAGCCATGTGTTACTTCTCGTATGAGTTCGGCCCCAGCATCCCGCTCTATAGCTCTGGAGTTCCTTTCCCTGGCACTTTTCCTGCTCTCCCCTTTATGCCACCTCCTGGAGCTGATTTCATCTGAGTCGTTAGGCTAAGTTAGTTTAACGGCTTTGAATAGGTACAAGCGCTCCACTCGTATTCTCTACATTCCTCTTTTTGTGTCCCAGAAGTTGTATGTTCCCACATCACTGACCTGCTTAATATGGCTGTCTCATTCCAACTATCGTGTGTGTGAGGGAGAGGGAGAGGGACCTGGGCGGTTTGCACCCTGCTTTTCCTCCTCTCCCTACCACAGCCGTTTTGTCCTGGGTATTGCCAGCCAACGTGGCAGTGGGGTGAGGGCTACAATCAAGTACACTATGGCAGATACCCCCACTTTCCGAACAACACTGAAATGGTGTCTTAATAGCAGCTTGATGTGGGTGTGGGGAAACTATAGAGGAGTAAGCCTACCTGACTTTCACACTCATAGCTATGATGCCCCCCCCGGGACCCCCAATACAGTCAGTTAGAAGTAGGAAAGGAACCTAACCTACTTGCATGAAGAGGTTGGCAGTAAGTTGAAAGTGAGACTTGCATTTGATTCACACCATATGTGAAAAGATTGCTGCACACTTCCAAAGCCTCCGAGTCTACCAAATGTACAAAAGTCATGGTCCCTGCCGTCCAACAGTTAGTGACATTCTCTGAACCAGAGTTTCCTGAGCTTTTTGTGATTACTGGGATTAGCCTGCTGCACATCCACCTACCGAAAGTATAGCTGTTATAGTGCCTTCTAGGTAAGAATGGGATTAAGAGGGTCTCTGAAATAGAAAGTCCAGGTTTGTCTGGACCTTATTGTAAATGTTAGCATTGCATCTTGGAATGCAGAAACTTGATCAAATCTGGTAGCAAGATGGTGACCAACTAGTAGAAGTATGCCTAGAATCTGGCGGTGTAGAGCAAAATAATGTCCAGACAAACTCAGACCTCTCATGAGCTGGAAAGGAAACCAGGGGACTGCAAACCTGTTGGTTTTGTTTGGGCTTCCTTGGAGTCCAGGGAACTTAGTATAACAGCAAGCACTGGAACCTTACTCACGTTTAGTAGAAAGCAACAGAAAGCCTGCCTGTGCAATAGCTGGAAATCTTATTAGCAGTAGTAGTTTAGAGCAGTTATACTGTGTCTGCCATACTGTGCCTTACATTAAAAAGACAAGCACTGGCAGATGCTGTGAGAAGATGAGTGTAGGCTTGGGCGAGTGGTTCCTTACGTGGCCTGTCCCTTCTGTAGGCCCAGGGCCCTACGACACTGGTGAAAACAGGAAACTAGAGTTCTGTGTTACCTGTCAAACGATTAGGGCAAGGTCGCTGGTCTCTTGCTTAGGGATTGGACTGATGGATTATTTCTTCACTTATTACTGCCCTAGAGGCATAATAAGGCACTGACCTTGTGTGTGGTGAGATTACCCGTAGGTTTTCAGTGAGGCAGGAGAGAGCCAAGCTAGGAGGAAAGACTAGCCCGAGCCTGGTGACTCCTTTGTGGCCAGACATCAAGGGAATGTACCTGGCCTTTGGCTTGGAAGCACGTCAGGTCTTCTGCATGTTCCCTTTAACCTGTGCGTGTGTTCAGAGTGTTTCCACTCTAGGCCATATGTGCCAGGGAAATGGCTTTGCAGTCATAAGCCCTTACGGGAACGTCTTTGGGTGCCAGAATGCCTGGGTTTCTAATCCAGGTTCTGCCATTTGCTAGCTATGTGGTTTGGAGGGAGTTACTTAACTGTTGTGCCTCAGTTTCCTCATCTGTAAAATGTGAATGATATCAACATGATAAGAATCAAATGAAGTAGTAGCTATAAAGTGCTTAGAACAGTGTTTGGGCCATAGAAGGTGCTATGAAAGTGTTCACCGCTGCTGACACCGTCGTTCTCGCCACCCAGCCAAGGCGAGAGCACTGCTGGCGGGAGCGCGTTGCCTTTTCAGGCTTCAAAGAGCAAACCCATGTTGGTCTGAAACCAGTACTGCAGGTTTCAGAATTTGAGGGCCTCCCTGTGCACTTTTATTCTCTCATCTTTTAAAATGAGCTTTTTAAAAACAGGGCTCTGAAACCCAACTGTTTAAAAAGGCAGGTGAGCTGGGCCCGGGTTTCAGGAACAATCAAGTGTCGTCATCGTTTCTGTTCCCCATCTTACAGTGATGTAGGGCTCCGTGCTGTGCAGTTATCTCTCCACCGCACACCCTGTCGTGTTCTCGACAAGATATATTAGACCTTGTAAAAAAGGGTTATGTCGTAAAGAGCAGGATTTACCTTCTGTGGCCGTTCATCTGTAAGGATGTCTTCATAAAGTGAGGAATGGCTTCGTTTTATGAGCCTGGGCTAGGGGTGTGGAAGACGGAATAGAGAGAAAAGTAAAGGTCAACTCTAAGAAAGCTAAGAGCCACTAGTGGGTAATAGAAGCCCAGGATAAATTTCTTACTGCAGTTCCTCCTTTAATTAAATTCTTGTTTGTGTCTTATGTCTCTTGGAGGCTGTTAATGTTTATGTTCTTCCAGGACTACTGACGATGGGAAATGGGAGTAGGAGGTACATTGTTTGAGGTTCCAGTCTTCCTGTCCTGTTAAGTGTCTCTGTCTCCATATCCCTAGAATGAAGCTAATATTTAATCCAGCTTTGCAACTTCTCCTGCACTGGAACCAGCTTACTGCTAAGGGAGCCAAATGCTGCCTCTGTACCTCCTTTGCCCACCAGAACCTTCTTAAACCAGGGCCTGGCTTTTAGGGCCTACAGGTCAAATCCAGGCTTCTGCCTGTTTTTGTAAATAAAGTTTTATTGGAACACAGCCTTGCTCCTTCCCTGAGGTATCATCAGTGGCTGCTTTTGCACGACAATGACTGTGTAGAGTGGTTGTGACAGAGACCATTTGGCCTGCAAAGACAAAAATAAATGGCTCTTAACAGAAGAAGTTGGCCTATTCTTGTCTTAAACAATGTTCCTAACCATGATTTCCTGTATATTTGAAACTGATCTTTATATAGGAATCATGGTCAGGAACATTGTGGAAATCCTAAGGTGGTAAAGAGAATTAACAAGCCTGTGTCCCCTGGATGTTTTAGGGGTAAAGAAGAGGGGTTATCAGTTTCTATCCAGGTCTCAGTCTTTGTGGAAGATCAGTGTGTGTGAATCCAGGCTGCCCGTCCCCTCCGCTTTCAGGCGACCTCTGTTCAGTAGACATAAACTCATTTGGATTTACATAAAAGCATAACTGTTAGGCAAATTTGTACCCCCTTCCCACCTACCCACCTTGCAAACCTAACAACCCATAACTGCCGTGAACACATTTTAAAACCAGATGGAAATTACCTTCAGCTCGTCTCCTGTTTTGGATTTTTCTCGTTATCTTTGATTTTTCTGAACAGATCACTGTGAGCTGGCAGTAGTCATGGCTGCTCTAAAATGCTGGCTTCCCCACAGGGACATGGAAAGGGTTTATTTTAAATGTTGATTATGTTCTCCAGGATGGTCGTTTCAGTGAACATAAGGCAGCATTGTTATTAGCAATGCTATTGGTAGTTATTAAATTCCTTTCCATGCAATGCTTTGAAAACTGAGTTCTTGGAGGATGCTGGGGGTTAAGGTAGGTGTGGAACCACATAGAAGGAGGTTGCGTATAGGGGATGCTGAGAGGAGGCCCTCAGCAAGCCATGTTCCTTTTGGACCCTGGTGCAACAGTCTGAGAAACAGTCTAGAGATTAGAATAGAGTGCAACCATTCTCCCCCCAGCCCCCGAAATGTAAGTGGAATTGCATTTAATTTGTAGACCAGTTTGGGGGGAAATGACATCATTTTTTAATGTACTGAGTTCTTCTATCCGCAAATGTTTTATACAAATACAGATATATGCACCATTTAGTTAGGTGTTTAGGGTGGAACTTTTCTATGCCAAAGAGTCATCTTGCTATCATGAAGCTTGGGGGTGCAGTTAAAATCCTTTAAGAGCTACAGTTGTCCTTCAAAACCCTGCGAGTGAGGCCGCCTTTTGTTTGGGAAGCATTAAACACCAAGCACTTCCCAGCCTGGCATTGCTAACTTGCTTTTGACAGCTTTGTTAGTACCAGGCACATGGTCAGCAAAACGCACTGCTGAAGTATCTGACTCTTGAGATGTCATCATCAGCGATGGCATCCTTGAAATTGGGGGCCACACTGCCTGACTGCTTTATTCCTTGGTACCCAAAAGGAGTGTGGGCCTATGTGTTCTTCTGTATTTTGGACAGGAAATGATTATTTATGTGCATATGGGATGGTCTCCACTTACGTAACACAGAGCTGGGATATTTTCAACCACTCGAGGTCTGTGCAGGAGGGGTGAAAACAACAGTGGGCTGGGGCGGTAAGACGGCATCCTTTTCTCTGCTTCTAGACACAGATACATCTCCAGAAAATTGGAAGGAGGATTGCAAAATAGTGAGCGTTGCCCAAGTGGTTGGTGGGCTTTCATAGCCACAGAACACGGTCCCTGGATCTTCT